CAGGCTGTCTAGTTCAGCGAGATCGGTACACGTCGAACTCGTTACAGACACCTGGTCACTTGCAAATACGGAGGCGAAGTGTGCCGCCAATGCGGACGCACGATCTGTGCTTGAGGTTATTGGCTGTCCAGCTGAGTCTCCTAACACTTGTACATTGCCTGCAGGCCTCAGGCGCCGCTTCTCGTAGGCGAAGATTCTCTTGGGAGCAGTTTTTGCGGGCCGTTGAAAGATACTCTTCGAAGCTTTTGCACTTTATTTGTGTTCGCGTAGCTGCAGAGATTGCGCTGTACCTTGTACGCCTTGTAGTCCTCATCAGAACCAGATAACACGAATTTGTTCCATAGCCTGAGTCGTCGTAGGTCCAGTTTGCTGTACTTGTCGAACCAAGGTGGTTTGACTGGCCCAATTTTCCGATACTTAAGGGGTACAAATCGGACGCACAACGATTTCACTCCCTCTTTAATGATAGTCCAACAAGTTTCAATAGACGAATCTTCTAGTAACGACCAGTCTATCTGGCTCGCTGCTCGAGTGTGGCAATTAAAGTCCGCCTTCTAATAGTTGTACGCTAGCTGCAGCGGCAGTTCCAAGCAAGTTATGATCAGCGAGTGGTCACTCGCTCCCAAGGGCTCCAAGCCTTGAATGTCATGTGCACGTTGTTCACAGCTGGTCAAAGGCAGGTCTAAGCACGACGGAGTCGAGCACGTAGTTATGCGCGTCGGTTGGTTGATGTGCTGTGTGGCCCCAGTTTCAAATATCAACTCTGTAAACTTCCTCTCGACTTCACAATGGCCGGGGAGAAGTTCAGGCCCAGGCCACGGTATTCGGGGTAAGTTGAAATCGCCCATGAGTAGGAACAGCGGACGACTCATGTGGTTTCGAACATGCGGCAACCAGTTCAAGCAGCGGCTCAGAGGACTACGATATACCACGCCCACGAGTAGCTGGCATCGTGAGGTGAATCGAACACCATAACGGCTCACATAAACCATCAGCGCTTCGGTAGGAGCTCACTAGTCGCCCACACATGGAAGACTTTATGTAAAGCAGAACGGCACCGTGAACACGTGATTGCCGATCACAGCGGAAGCATGAGTAGCCGCTGATTTCCTCTTCTTGGGCGGTTACGTCGGAGTTCAACCATGTCTCAGCTGAGAGGATACAAAGTAGTACAGCTAATCGCGTTTGTTCATCAGACTGCATACGTTAGTAAAGGCTACGCGTAGGCCGCGTCTGAAGCATCAGAAACCTGTTGATCGGGACTCGCGGAGGAATCCGGGTGACTACCCGAAAATCTACAATACGGAGATTTGTTTCTCCATCGTCCGTGGGTCGCTTTAGTTCAATCATCGCAGACTTGAGTTTCCCTCTGTCTGCTGGGTTTAAGTCAGCGCGCACGTGGGTCTTTAGACCTTTCAGTCTGTTAAGACGAGACAATATTAACTTAGGACTTGCCTCTTCGACAAAAGTCACCCTCATAGGTTAACTTTTGCCCTCGGTTCTCTTTCCGAGACGAACGACCTGTTTCACTTTGAGCCCGCCCTCACCCACGTCGAGCAGTCTGTCAATCAGAGTTTGCAAAAAATCGACGTCATGTTCATAGCGCACCTGAGGATTGGAATCACAAGATTCAGGTGCGTGGAAGACCATGAGGCTACGGCACCTCAGGTCGCTGGACAATGCTCTTGGTTTCTTGGGCATTTGCATTTTCCATTCGTTATCACCAATTTGCTTATTGCAAATTAGAGCTTTAGTGTCAACTGAAGAATTCGTCCATCTTGAAGCCGAGCCTGCCGGAGCGCTAGCACTTTGCTCCAGGGATAGATTCATTGTCGTACTAAGCGCTGTCTGTTGCTCTGATTCTGGTGTAGGACAAATCGAACTGCGCGTTTTAGCGCACTTCGCTCTACTGATCCGCTTGCCAGGCTTTTTGGCTCCATTCTGCCCAAGTTTAGACTGAGATTGCTTACAAATGGTCTTCAAAAAATCGTGCTGAATCCCTTCAATTACTCGAAATTAGTCCACAGGCAGACTAATGCACGAAATATGAAACTTTACGCTGCATAAACTGCATGTAATCGCATTTGCGCGATGTCCAACGACTTTGGGGCAAATACCACAAGGTGTCAGCTTTGCCATTTCGAAAATACGCACTGATCGATATGAGTAAATCAGCGTAATGTAGAATCATAGAAATTATAATAAACTAGTAAAGGTAGTTGTGATGAAGTAAATCCAAATAACTAACGTGAGTGAATTACACAAATATTTATAGCCTAAAACGACTTTAACAATGAAAAGAACGAGATAAACTGGTCTGACGAGGACACGAGCAAAATATAACCAGGACGGGCGAGGAGCAAGGCAGTCTAGAACGACAGAATTGTTGCCGAAAACGGTTAAAAATATATTATTGGATAATTCAGAATCACAAATAATACCGAACCAAACAACTGAAGACAAAAAACTAAGATATATGACACAGGAAACCTGAGCAAACTGGCTTGGGAGCAGAGCGGTATAATTCGAACCGGTCGCCGTGGCCTTGACCTTGAGTTGAGATGAGTAAGCTTCTCGGGTAGCTTGGCCGATGAAGCCAGACGGGGTAACATACCTGATATGTGAAAAGGAACCTCAAACAGAGAAAGGCGATGGATTTTAGATGTTGCTCGCGCGAAAACAATGAGTGTCGGGCGGGCGATACACAACACCCATCTGTTTCAGTTACGATCCCATTGATCGAATTAGACAAGGGTCATTTCAATGGGAATCGCGATCCACATTAAGAATGTGCGTCGCAAGTTACCCACATGTGTTTCAAACATAGCCAATCCGATCAGAAATAGGATGTTAGTGGTGCCAGTATTTGGGGACAAATGTTATTCTTCGGCTGCCTATTCAGACAGAATTCACCTTTCTCTTATGTCCTGGCGCACAAGATAGTGGGGAGCACACCTATCTCAGGGGTAACCGCAATGCGCCACTGGAAGTTGAGTTACGACGGCCACACGCATCTTCAGAATACCCACGATTAAAACTGGTCAGGCGTGTTTTTCAACTACAGTAAATTACACACCTGCAATAACAGTGAGTCCCAGGTGCATCTGGCCGCATTTGTATATTACTGACAAAGGGCTATCCAGCTTGAAATGGGCGCTAGTAAACCATCAAGTAAAGACAATGCCTATCCACCGATAGAGATAACCTATGATACTCGCGCTGTGTGCTTACTGAACCTAGCTTATAATCAGCGAGCGCTGTTCCCGATTTCAAATCTTCATAAACTCCGATAAGACCAAGTTTATCTAACCTACAATTATTTACCTATCTGGTGTGAGTGCTTCAGAAGACACCTGAAAAGTGCCACTTAGTGTAACGCAACCATTCGCTGGGCTAGGCAGCTGACAGTACCAACTTGAGGTATGGCCACATTGGATCATAAAATATGTTGGTTAACTCCCTCAAGTCGATTCTCCACGAGAGTCGTTGGTCGGCCTGAGATCCTACCCGGTTACTTGGAGTAATAGTCGACAACGCAAACTAAAGTAGGTCCAGTTGGACAACTGTGCGAAATAAGTGACCCCACCAACATAGCTAGCTTACATTCAACAGTGAACTGGGAGTCTACTGAAGAAGACAAGCTGGTGGACGCTAGTACCAGTCGTTAGGAGCTCACAAAGGACATAACTGATGTTTCGCAGGTATCAGTTATCACAGACGTCTCTGGATGTTTCCGATGTGCTACAACCATGTATGTAGTGTAGCAATGGATAAATTATGACGGAAAAGCATCTGCGGCCCTCTCAATACGCGCAACCACCTTGTCTGGGATCCAAGCGATCGGCGACGCCGAGTAATTATCCAATGCGGGTAAGAATCGGTGGGAAATCAGTGTCGTTCTGCGCTAGGTTCGCATCAAATGAATGAGGAAAACATACCGAGATGTGGGACGTTCCATGCGGGTGGTGCATAAGGGCTCAGTGAGACCATATCACATGCAAGCTCTGGGTTTTTCAGTTGGCCAACTGACAGAGTAACATAGGGTCAATGATGAACAGTTTGAGCGCAAATCTACAGAGAAGCGGAGATATGACAAGCTTGGTGTGTTCACTTTGTCGTGAATGGACCAGAGGAAAAGGCACCCTCGGTAGCAGATGTACAGCGGCATGTTGCAGTGACGCATATCTGCCATGCGTTCATCAGTTGTCGCGTGTAGCTATGGTTACATTGAGATCGGCTGCATCTAAGCAGGATTGAACCGCCGGCCCGTACAGTATAGGCCAGACGTGTGAACCACTCGGCCACCGATCGAATAGATTCAGGTGAATTTTCCTGTGGACTATTGATCGCTCTTAAAAGCAGTGCCACAAACAAATGTGAGCAGCTGAAATGATACAGTTTTTCTCTTAAACACGGCTTATTACGAGAATAGCATTTTAACTGATAGGAATAGGCAGGATGACGACAGAGTTCGTCGTCGAGTGTCAAATTAACACGTTAAAAACGGAAGCGATTGTACAGCATGGCAATACGCCATCGCCGGGGGAAAACAAGAATGTTCATCTTTTATGCCAGAAACAAGGTTAAAACAGAGCAAATGCAAGTCAGTGCTCCATGAAGGTTGAACAAACTAGAAAGCCTAACGATCATGAGCCCCCAATACCCAAGTGCTCAAGCAAGCATAGAGGAGCGGACTGGACCAGGTTACTGTATTTTAGCAACACGAGCTGCGATGCGTGGCATGATCTGGGGTGTACTGCATGAACTCCAACAACTACGAGTGAGTCTTACAAATAGCTAGTTTGGTTGGATGACAGCAGTTAGTTGATTGTAGAAGATCAGAGTTGACAGAGTGTTTCCATAACGACTAATTACACCCGAGGTCTACACAGGGTCCCGGTAGGAAATCGAACGAACATAAGGTGAGTATCTAGGTGGGCAGGTGCACTCACTAACCTCCAACCATGGTATAGAGAAACAGGCGGAAAGTGAGACATAAATTGTGATGTTTATAAGACGAAAAGTAAAGGTAGAAATTACAGTTAATAGAGTATTACGGATAGGAGAAAGAAGTTTATAAATGTGTCGTCCAATGAGGTGACGAAGCGTTCGAACCTTAAAAATGAAAAACGCGAAAGTGAAAGCGCAGAGGGGAAAGATGTCTGAAACGAAAACCGCGTATACAAGTGTGTGCACCACCTAGCAGAGCAATAGGAAAAGAAACCGCTGTATTCTGGATTAAACACCCGAACGGCAACGGTGTAATACAGGTGGATAACAATGTTTCGCCAAACTTGACATATACGTGAAATAGGAAAAACATACATAGCGTGCAAACGGTCAAATGAGGCACAATATATTGATTGTAGGCCTGAATCCATTGGCCACGTAACAAAAAAGAGGGATAAGGCACGTAATGGCAAGGAATGAAAGAATAGGCGTACAAGCGGATGAAAATACTCAGCCAAGTCAAGTTAATAAAATTTACGTAATGGTCTTAAATGCTTGTTCAATATAGTAAAAAATCGAGAATGAGACAGGAGCTATAAATGCGGAAAGCAATGAAAAGAGATCAGTTCAGCTAAATAACAGTGCCCAGGATTCCCGATTTGATTCTCAGTCAATCGCAACTTTCCGCAGAAATTTCAGACCTCCCGGTCCCGTTGGACCGACTTCATCCGTCAGACACGTCTGTCCACTGTCGTCAACGCTCATTGGGCAAAGTGGGATACCTTCGCTTCGACCCGAAAGATCAAGATCAGCCTGTTGACATGGATCTGTGGCAGCAACAGCAGTACTGCTAACCAAACGACCATACAACTCTCTGCCAGAAGAACTGCGAAACTTGTGAGAAGGAGCATACAAACAAAGAATGGAGATCACGTATACATTCCACATTCCATACACACCGGTAATGAATGCTGATCCGTATTCTACGGACCGTTCTCCCCAAGTCCACCGGTCCTCGGTGAGCTAGAGAGTAAAATGGATAGATAAGTGAGGATTAAGTTAGCGATTTACCGATAACAAGAAGCGTCAATACTGGAAGTATGAGAAGATTCGGCGTGGAAACAAAATCTCATAACGGTTACAGATTCGTTGGTTGCGTGTTGGCTATCGACCACCAAAGTTGGAGGGAACCCTCTATGGAGTTCAAGATAGTAAAACACTGTTTCACTGCGCCGTTGAATAAATGAAGTGTGTTGCAAACCGATGAAGCCTGGTGACAGAGAGGTGATGCTAACTGTTCCGGATGTGCCACACATATCAGAAGGTTGACAAAAATGGTTTTGAAAAGAAAAGCTAAAAAGGAGCTAACGACGATCCGGATTCGTAATCGCTTATAAAACAGCAGGTAACCGCTGAGGAGAAATCGAGTGACATAAGCATTTACATTGTAATGCAAAAGATCGGCACAAGGCGTACTGGGTGAAAATCGGTTGAGACAAAAATATAATGAAAATGTGGTTGTTGATATCATTGCAATAGTCCAGTGGGGTTCGTGCCGGAGCTCATATTGGAACCTAAGCAGTGGTAGAGTAGTCTGTGACCCTGTAAACGTTCAGCTATTCAAAGCAATCTGGGTGGAAATATAAGCAACGGCGTTGCGGGCAACGAACAAAAATAAAACACATAAAACAAGCAGAAAACCTTCCGGTGGGCACAAAATTCAAACAAGAAACTGGATAGAATGACACCGACAAGTGAGAATAGAAGGCTGGATGGATCGAGATTGCTACACGATGGCAAGGTGGCCAACTGTGGGTAAGGTAAAGGAATAACAAAGAAATAAGAAGCAAGCGAAGGAGCGCACATCGTGAATTCATGTGCTGGAATAAATCGAAACTTGAGAACGAGACATCAACAAAATTCGGTCTAATCCAGAAAGTCAAAGAAAACTTGAAAAGAAGAGAGCTTTTATTCCGCTTTGCCCTCAGAACCTAAGCGTTTAAACGATCAGTGGCGCGTGAATCAACGCGCTGACTGGTAAGATTAATGGATGGTACACACACGGTGTAATGTGACAGGTAGAATGCCAGCGTCCAGGAACACATGATCTTGCGGTGTTGTAACCATGTCGGTACACTCGTACAGGTGTAACTGTGGAAGCAATCTTTACGCGTCCCTTAGTTTAGGGACTAGGTGCACTTCAGGGAGAGATTGATTGTAGGTCGCGACCTCATGGTCGGCCAAGATACTATCATCCAAATGATAACTGGCGTCGAATTGTCACTAAGGAGGTAAGCTAACCCCTGCAAACCGTGAAGGTTGGGGGCAAAAGCACGGACATACCCGGCATCTGAGTCGAAGTTACCTAGAACTAAATTACTTAGCCGGTGATGAAAGCAGGCTAATACGAAGCCGTCCGATTAATCGGGATCGCAAACTGAACTACCCATAAGGGGTCATGTGTTCAGTAGAGATGTTAACAAATACGAAAAGTGGGGAGAACACTGCGCTCAGTGTTATCAGACGACGTGATGCGACGATGATCCACCATGCAATGTTGCTGCTCCCGAAGTCGGTGCATGGAATGAAATAAGAGCGTGTTATGTTCCTGTTGACGACACCCCTGACACGATACCGTTGTTGAGGATACAAGTAAACTACCCCCCAAATGAAAACAAGAAAGTTCTACCAACAAGCCTCAATAACGCTCGGAAAGAGAGGTGACACGATACAGTGGTGATTAATCAGATAATACTACTAAGCAGGCAATCTTCCTGAATGTTTCCGTGATACCGGAAACTGACTAAGTATGCTATTCGTTGTTATTGGTTGGCTCTGGAGTTCCGCTGTCCGGATCATTAGCCACATTTGTGTACAACAACTGATGTTGTGATTCAGAGTGACACTGTTGCCTCTCGAAGTGGGAATACAGGTGACGAATACTCAGCATCCAGGGTGTAGACATCGACGAGGCTGGAACGGTGCGTATAACATGGGTTGGCACTGAAGCATGATAGGAACAAAAGTGCGGTCTCCGGGTCGACAAACAGTTCTGCATTGATGTATGTGATGGCAAGGTGGCTAACAAAGAGTCCGGTTATCTAGACCCCCATATGAGTCGAACTTAGCTAGAACCAGAGTACCCAGCGGGAGATGAAAGCAAGTTAATACGAAGTCGTCCGATGAATCGGGACAGCAAACTGAACTACCCATAAGGAGTCATGTGCTCAGTAAAGAGACTTGAACAGATGCGAAGTGGGAAGAACACTGCGCTCAGATAACGTGGTGCGACGATGATCAATCAGTCTATTTATTAGACTGTTGAGATTACTACTATTACTGTGAGCTGAGAGGACGAACAAGCATGGACTGTTGGAGGGTATGGAAATATGAAAACCAAGGATGGTATAAAAATTCGAGACGCTCCATCAGACCCCCCAACTTACCCTGTTAAACATGAAGAAGGCGATGGTGAGACCCGCACACACAGAAGTGCAACTAATGAGCACAATAAATCGATAGATGACACCCTTGTAGTAGGTGCACTGTTCTGCAGGAAGGCGTGTCAACAGACGGCGTTTGCTGAAAATTTGCAAGAGCGCACGGAAAATGAGAAGAGCCAGGTACCCGGTGTACACGGCAGCGCAAACAGCCGCAACAGCGATACTAGCGATACCGAGCTTGGCAGCCGTAGGGTGAGACCAAATGCTATAAACGAATGAGAGGGGGAAATGTAAGCAAGGTATGAGAGAAAAGTAACTGGTACGGACGATTGATAGTGCGTGCAGCGGTATCAGAAAGTGTACAGTATACATGTACTGGGGATATATAACGTCCGACATGCTAATGCTTAAAAAGAGAAGTATCAAACCTGGACTCCCGTTGAGTCAAAGTAGAGCTCTGAGCAATGAGCATTAGCTATAAGGGATACTGAGTAGGGATAACAGACAAACGGATATCAGTCGTTGTTTATAGGGAGCCAAGGATTCCAGATGACTCTATGTGACAGGTGCAGGGAAGTAACGAGTAGGAACAGTTTCGTGTAAAACGCTACATGACATGTGCATCACCCTGCTACTACTCAAGCAACATTGGATAATTTGATGTTATGCAGTAGCACAGCCGCACAGCCTGGGAACGAAATAAAGGAAATTGATTTCAAGCAGATACTGTTATTCACCAGAAACCCGGAGAAGCCTTGAACGAGTAATCTATTCCTAGGGAAAAGTTTGAATTGAAAATTAGATTAATGAAAAAAGGCGTCGAAATCGTAAGCAAACTCTCTTAAGACAGCAAATGGAATACGAAAAACGTCGGTAACCGACGTAAAGGTGTATATAGTGAAAATAATTGGAGTGATGCGCGCATGCGGTTAGGCCCTCTGCTAGGGTACATCCACAGCATATGCACTTTTATTACTTACCTAGTGTATTTATTCCACAGTATTGTGGCTAACCATACCTTGTTTTCATTAGCAGTGTGCCTCTTCGTTGCTTCGTGAGTGTATCACTAAGTACGCGGAAGCATATCGGTGGAAAGCGACACAGGGAAGCAGTTTCCGATTTGGCCGCAAAGGACACTGTTTCGGGCATTTCTCCGCGTCAGTGAAATAATAACTAGTCAGCGCGATGTGGCATGCTAATATGTGCCGATTGGGATCCATGTACTAGCTCGTCAGCAAGCCATCGTCCGCCCATGATATGGACTAAATTCCAAAGTTAGTCTAATGAGCGATTAACTCCCAACTGCTAATCCCCACTGCAGTTTGCCAGTTGCAGAAGTAAATGTGGTCAGGAAGGAGAAGATAAAGGTCCAATTACCGCAAGACCGAAAAATCGGGTAATAAATGGAGATCACTCATGGAAAAATAGCTACACAGAGAGGTTTGGTAGATAACGTGCGCCACAGCTTGCACAAGCCCTGGTGCATAATGGAACAGCCGTCCTGGTAATGAGATCACGGACACGCACGGGCAGAGTTGAGTGCAATTGAAAGTGGATGACAGTAAATGCTTAGTTACACCGGTTCTCCATCGTTCAGTATGCTACTACCATATAGAGGATGGGGTTAGTTAAAAAAATAACTTGTCAATGCCATCAGCAGCATTATGTGCGGAAATACAAAAACGATAACGCATCACATACTATAACATACACAAACTAAAAAGTAATATGATGTTAAATACCGTATTACGCATTGGGTAGGAGAACGATGCTTGAGGGCGAAGCTAAAGGGGAGGGACAAAGAAACTTACAACACAAATGCTACTGAGGTCGGCTCTTCGCCAAGTCAACAAGTGTATCCAAGCAGACGTGTTCATAGTCCTTCGGACTTCGGCCAGGCAGGCAGTCGGGATACACAAACCGACGCAAATTGCGGTGAGGGTTTTCGTTTCTTTCGACCAAGTCATCACTTGGCCTCACCTCTTATTCTCCCATCCAGACCCTGGGCGCACAAACAACGCACGACGCGGGAGTCGACGTGCTGGCATGCGCAACACGTGGCGTAGCTAGCAGAGCCTAATGCATCAAATAACAGTGTCGACCGTTCATTCGCTTTTCTTGCACCAAATATAAGTCGCGGAACACAATACTCACGTGGTGTTCTCATCAGATATCAGCTAAGCTGCGAAGGCAGCTATGGTCGAACATAACAAGCTTCCTGATGTTTGTCAACCTGGGTCAGATTTCACAACCGTATAAGAGGGTTGAGCGGACGGCGGCATTATAAACTCTGCTCTTCACGGCTAAAGTGATGTCACGTCGGCGTCACAGGTGGCGGCGATTGGAAAAAACACCTCGAGCCTTTGCTATACGGCTCGTGACCTCATTTTCAATCCCACTAGCGCTAATATAGCTGCCCAGGCACTTGAATGCCTGAACGAGTTTTAGTTGATCACCACCAAGGGTAAGTGCAGGAGTGGGTCTCTGCCAAGCTTGGAGAAGGATCTTGCATTTCGACGGTGTAAAGCATAGCTCGAAGCGGCTGACAACCAGTGCTAATCGGTCCGGTGCTGCTCGGCATGTTTGGGAGCCGTCACGCATTAGGGGAATGTCATCCGCATACTTCAAGTCAAGAAGTGAATAACCATTGTAGGTGGTGTCCAACAGACGCCGTTTCCATGGTTTCATCAATGGCGAAGGCAAAGAAAAATGTTGACAGTGGGCACCATTGTCTCACAACTTTGGATATATTGAAGAGCTGCAACAGTTTACCATAAACCCTCACTCTACCCGAACTGCGCGCATACAGCGCCCTTATGCTATTTACATACTTATCGGATACACCTTTCCTGAACAGACAGTCCCAAAAGGCACATCGATCAACCGAAACGAAAGCAACTTTTATGTCGAGAAACACGACTACGGTGGGTCGCCAATAAATATGGAAGTATTCCAACGATTGAAGTAATAAATAAATAAACAAATAAGTAAGTTTTTATTCCCGACCAAGCGAGGCACGCCTTCAAAAGTATGATCGTAATAATAGTACAACCACAGAGCAAGTAGTGTATAATAGTGTAGTAGGGTTTTTATATATGTGGATCCATAAATATCTGCAAGTAGGTAGGTTGCTTGTGTTTGTGAATATGTTGCTGTTCTTTGACTGCGGCTGATCGTGTCGCCAGTGTCTATAGGAATGTTTGAGGTCTCTGGACTTGATAATATTGTCCGAGTAAGCAAGGACAGTGACTTTAGTTAGTGGCGAGTCACAGTCGCCACGTCGGTGTTGTTAAACAGACATTTGTGGCGGCATGGCCGATGCAGCCTCGATTTCGACGAAACTCGGCTTGTTCCTCGCACATCTGACTTTCAAGGGTGCCAGTCCGTCTAGGTAGGACGACCCGGCTGTCAACGGTCTTGGTTAATCGCCCCGCTGCCTTGCGGGTCAGGTCATTATGACCAAACGCTCGGAGTGGGGTCCCTTAAGTCAACCCTCTTCCTCGGCCTGGGCAACCGGGAAGATCTCTGTCCACACAACACATTAACCTTCTAAACCTTTCCACTAAATACCTGTTTTCCCCTTCTTGTTGTTGTTAACTATGTGTTGTGGCACTGCCAATCGTATATTGGTCAATTACTGAATGATGATAATAATAATAATGATAAGGTAGGATGACAGAAGCAAGTAAGTTAGAGGCAACTGAGATTAGGCTGATTTCTCTACGACTGACTCATTCCGAACGGGAGCCTCCCTTGAAAAGTGGGACAATAACGGAGCGACTGTAATCTGTTGGGACAGTTTCCTGCTCCCACAGATTCACTAGTAAGTTACACAACTCATCCATAAGAGCAGGGCCCATAAGCTACAGCACAGAACACAGGTGGTTACTCAGTCAGATTGGCTATCGGTGTCGGAGTTCACTGTCACCCGAGCTAGTCTTAAAAGTAGGGGCAGAGAAGAGGAAAACGGAAGTTAAGTGCTTTCTTAGACTGCTGGTTGCCACCTGCGCAGGCTTATTCATCAGTCCAATTAACAGTAATACGAAGCAAAGACCGCTTTAGTTAAACACAATCTTTACAAATGAAAGATCGATTACGCGTTATGAAGCAAAATGAAGGATGATGGATGTTGATGGAAATTGGGTACTGCCCACCCGAAAACACTGCACAGCCACGACGCGTTTCGATGTAATTTCATCTCATCAGGTGGAGACAGCAGGATTTGAACCCACGACCATTGGAATAGCAGCCCACACTACTACCCCTTTGGCTACCGGGTCACGATGGGCAACGCTTTTTGTCACAACGGTAAATGACTAATTGGAGGGTCAAGTTTGGATTACACGTTGTGTGATTGGATTGCGACACGCAACCTCAATTTAATGGACTGTGATTCACATTGAAATGAACCTTAGTCACTGCGATCGCTGGGACCGTATTCAAAGTAGATGGAAATTGGGTATTGCCCACCCGAAAACACTGCACAACCACGACGCGTTTCGATGTAATTTTCATCTCATCAGGTGGAGACAGCAGGATTTGAACCCCGGACCATTGGAATAGCAGCCAACACTACTACCCCTTTGGCTACCGGGTCACGATGGGCAACACATTTTGTCACAACGGTAGATGACTAATTGGAGGGTCAAGTTTGGATTACACGTTGTGTGATTGGATTGCGACACGCAACCTCAATTTGATGGACTGTGATTCACATTGAAATGAACCTTAGTCACTGCGATCGCTGGGACCGTATTCAAAGTAGATGGAAATTGGGTATTGTTGTTCGTCGTCGAATGCCCTGCAATCAGTGCGACGCAGTTATCGCAGCGTAATACAATGTATAGTCGAGTATCGGCCTAGAATGATAAGGTCAAACCAGCATATAGTCGTCCCAGTATTAGGAGAGTATTTGCTGTGCTACGGTTCAGTAAGACAGTAGTCAGGGTAACAATCGAACACAGCCGGTAACACTAGGTTGTTTTCTGGGGCCGTGTTAGTTATCGCACCACCACACAGGACCGCACATGCAACTGCTTGATGCTTAACTCAAGAGCGCACGCGTAAAAGCTCAAGACCCCTGAGTTATGAAGGATTGTGTGAAGACACAAAGCTTCCAATCACGTACTTACACTCATTTTTACTCTAGCTTCGAGTGCCTCCTACTAAAACCACACGCAATCAGTTCACAGGGTTGGCACGGATTCAACGCAAGAACCCAATACCCTCATCACGCAGAAAACTAGTAACAGTTGCAGGAGTTGGATCTCAATAATACATCATCTATGTCACGGAAGTTCGGATGTAAAATCCACGGGGAATTAGACTGGTGGAGAAGTCGTTACTACGGTTCGCTGGGTGTGCGTTCGACACAAGAAATAAAATACTGTCGAAAGCTATGGGGAATATATGATAAAACTCAGCGGGAAGACAATATAGTGAATAACCAGTCCAGCCCGTTCATCAATTGCAAGTTGAGAACCGACACGTTATGCAAATCTGCACACGGAGAAAGTCGATAGAAAACAAGTACTGTCATCATGACGATGGCGCTGGGATAATCATAGATGAAATACCGAGTGGTCTGTGGAAAAGTGGAGCGATGAAGCCGGAAGTTTGAACAAGTGGGAAAAAACAAAAGGGGTGAAAAGAAAACTCGGGCTTTAAAGTGGACTAACCTGTAAAACGGATTCCTGATTTGAACCCCCCGCTCAGCGAGCTCGAAGATTGACAAAGAAGTGCACGAGGTGATCACCAATAGTAGCCGAGGCCAGTAAACGCGGTTAACTGAGGGCGATTTATCCATCATATGCTCGCCCGTAAACACAAGTAAAAAGCAAGCGAGTACAGCGAAGAAAAAGCCCTGTCGAATGTCACTTAGGATTATCCAGAAAGAGCTGTTCCATCTGGGGAAAAAAGCAAATTCACAACAAAAAAGATCAGAGAGGACGTATGTCTAATCGCGTTTTGCAAACGGATGGATTGAACTGAGTGAAAAGAATTTCACAAAGCATGAAAGGACGGAGGTGTTAGATGTGTTTATTAATTTGCAAACGTTGACCGTAGCACTTGTGTTGGAATAAGCCAAAGGGTAGGTGGAGCTGAGTTACAATCCACAAGGCACACAAAAATAGAGCGGATCTCGCGTTATCTCTGTTAGGGAGTTCCACGTCTGATTGCATCACGATGATAGTGCTAACTAAGTGTGCGAAAGAGGAAATGCGGAGTCGATAATGTAGATGTTGTGGTAGGCAAGGAAAAGTATGTTTCAAGAGGGACTAAAACCTTAGTTAAACAAGACACCAGTGTCTGCCAGGCAATTAAATGAAGAATGTCAACGGGTGTACTATATATATATATATATATATATATATATATATATATATATATATATATATATATATATATTATACACAATCTGTGGTACAGATATTGTGCCATCGGAATCACGGCTGAATAGGAAAACAATATGGATAATAAGAAAAGAGCAACAAGAAATGCTTCTTTTTGTCAAGTTTACCACACACAGTTTTTGAAATTTTTTTCAGTTTATTCTTTTTTTAGGGGGAGGAGGAAGGGACACCGCAACACACTGATGCACACGTCCGCCATTGACATCGATCTTGAGCCATAACTTCCAAGGTTTTCAACCAGCAAGTATCCTCATCTCTCGGACCCCAACCAGGTAGTCGACAGCAACCGGCCGAGGCCAATTGTTTAGTCAACTTTTTCATGCGGCTTCTCCATGTTGTAGGCTGTCCACCAGACCGTCTCTTCCAGCCCTGTCCAGCAAGTGCAAACAACGCACGACGGGGATAACGCTGGACAGGCATGCGCAATACGTGTCCCAACCACCGCAGTTGATGCAGTGAGATGAGATCCTCGAGCGAGTGGCTTCCACGTCCCAAGACACGCTGTCTAACTTCCACATTGCTTACGTGGTGCTGCCACCACACACGGGCAATGGACCGCAGACAACGGTGCTCGAAGACGGATAGCCTGCGCAAGTCATCTTTACGAATGGGCCAGGTCTCGCATCCGTACAACAGTACAGCACGAACAGTTGCACAATAGACCCGCCCTTTGATGGAGAGACGAATGTCGTGGCGACGCCACAAATGCCTCAGCCTAGAAAAAGCGAGGCGTGCTCTCGAGATGCGCATCGAAATCTCGTCTCCAACAGCCCCGCCAGCAGTGATGCAACTTCCCAAGTAGACAACGCTCTCCACAACCTCCAGTGTCTCACCAGAAAGCGTGAGTGCAGGCAGAGGCACCTGCCAGTCTTGAAGGAGAGCCTTGCATTTGGATGGCAAAAAGTACATACCGTACTTTGATGCTTCAATCGCCAAGCGGTTTAATACAAGTTGGACGACCTGTGGATCGTCACCCGGCAAGACGATATCATCAGCATAATCCAAATCAACAACTCCTGGGAGGAGCTCAACGCCAGCGTTCAACGAATCGCTCAGAGCGTTCTTCAGGACATCCTCAATGGCAAAGTTGAATAGGAACGGAGAGATAGGGCATCCTTGTCGAACTCTACTGGAGACCACAAAGGTAGGCGAAAGCATGCCATAAGCCCTAACCCTGCCCGAGGTCAGACTGTATGGAGCGCGCAGTATGGAGACGAAGTTCTCGGGGACACCGTTCCTCAGAAGGCGATGCCACAGTACTGTACAATCGACAGAATCGAAGGCTGCACGGATATCCAGGAACACAGCAATCGTTGGCCTCTGATACACATGGCGGAGCTCGAGGATCTGGCGAAGTGTGAAGATTTGATCGATGCAGCCGCGACCAGGGCGAAACCCAGCTTGTTCTTCTCGTTGCAACGATTCGCGTGTTGGGGATAGCCTGCGAAGTATGATGGACACCAGCAGCTTGCAAACGACGGGGACTAAACTTATGCCTCTGTAGTTGGAGCAGATTGTGCGCAGGCCCTTTTTGAAAATGGGTACGACTATCGATTCACCCCAAGATGATGGAACCTTCTCTTTCGACCAAATTTTCGAGAACAAAACGGTGAGTTCTCGGACCAGCGATGCGCCACCATCTTTAAATAGGGCTTGGTGAAGACCATCAGGGCCGGGGGCTTTATAACGCTTCAGGTGCCGGAGCTCCTGCTCGATTTCCTGGGAAGAGGGAGGGTCTGTTGGGGTAGATCACTCGGCCCCAGCGCGAGCGCCAGAGGTAGCAGATGGAGCTGGGGGCCAACAAAACTGCGAGCCAAAATGTTCGGCCCATCGCTCCAACCGTCGTTGAAGATTGGTGATTAAGGTGCCATCCTCTTCGCATTTTGTTTCACTTATACCAGATCGAACACCTTCGGTGACTCGAAGGAGATGGAAGAGTTTCCTGGTATTACCACAGAGACTAGCAAGCTCCATCTCCCTAGCACGTTCACACCACCAAGCTTCGCGGTCCATTTGCAGACTCCTGCGCAACTCTCGACCAAGGTATTGGCGTTCTTCAACGTGTCTCGAATCCGATGGGATCAAGCGGCGTCTGTCCATCAGCGACAAGGAGTCGGCGGAAATCCAATGTTTCGGTGGGTGACGGGTAACTCCACAAGTGTCGATACTGGCGGAAACTAAAGCATCTTTGATATGCGCCCACTGCGAATCGAGATCACCGTCAATAGTTGAGCCAAGCAAAGTTGACAGTGAGGCTTGGTACCTGGTTAAAACCGCAGCGTTTTGTAGATTCGCGACGTCCGGTCGGTAGTGGGCGCGCTTAGGTGATCCTCCGAAACGCATGCAAATCTTAGCACGAACCAATGCGTGATCAGAGTCTAGAAAAGTTGACCAGTACGATCGGCAGTCCGTTACGCTTCCGCGCCATCTGTAGCTGATTGCTATGTGGTCAACCTGGGAGCGCTCTTGCGTTTGTGAAGGCGGGCGCCAGGTAGCAGTCTGTCTCCTCGAAAGTCGAAAACTAGTGCTCGAAAGAAACAAGCGATGATCAGAGCAAAGAGCAAGCAATCTGTCTCCATTGTCTGATCGACTGCCACCGAGACCAAAACTACCCCAATGTGGTGCTCGCTTGGTAGAAGGCGGCCAACCCGTGCGTTAAAGTCCCCGGCAAGAATGACTATATCAGCCCATTTGGAGGAAGGCAGAAGTACATTTAGCTGCTGGTAAGAGCTATTCTTGACTGCATCCGGGCTGCAGTACGTAGCGGCATACGCAGAGACGACAAACAAGGCACGCTTAACGTCTTGACTCCTGCTTACATTACATGAACCTCTTAATCGGACTGCGCATAGCCGACTGTTGTCTGGGATCCAGTGAAGCAGACTTGATTCCGTCCTAGGACTCAGTGCAACCACAACACCAGCTTGGCCAGAGGCGGCAGCTTCTGGGTCTCCGGAAAGCCGCAAGTAGTATTTGGCGTCAGAGTTTACCGGAGAGGCCATTCTGATGACGGCGCTAGAGTCTTGTAATCTGGTCTCTGAAAGACAACAGATGTCTACCGATGGCGTTTCAAGAATACGGGCCAGACATGCTTGTCGTCCGATCTGCATCAAAGTTCGAACATTAAATGCTGTGAGGATGAATGGAGAACCAGGTCGGAGAAGAGCTGGAGCTTAGGTGGAGTGAGAGGCGGTTGCGATCGCAGGACATTGAAAACCGGGAGTTTGGCTGTTACTTCCATCAGCTGCGAGACGTGGGTCGTTTGTGACGGTGACTGTAGAAGACACAAGAGTACATGTAGGTGAAAGACGGGAGGTGGGGTGGTCTGTGAGTGGACGTTGAGCGGTTGAGTTAAGACAGAAGAGCGGCATAGCAGTAGTAGTAGTGAGCGGTTTAGTCCATGATTCGTCAGTGGGCGTGATACTACCCGGTTGCCCAGGCCGAAGTAGAGGGTTGTCTTAGGGGGCCCTACCCCGAGCCTTTGATCAAAGATCTAACCTACAAGGCAGCAGGACGATGTGAGGGCGTCGCAACCCGTTGGGAGCCGGTGACCAAGTAGATGGTTCATACGCCTTTCGGTCCGTGAAGGACCAGGGGCCCAACTCACCCTTAAAGTACAATGCCTTTCAGGGAGGGGCAAGGGGCAGTGACTTTATTTAGTGGCGAGTCACATCCGACACGTCGCAGTGTTGTTAAACGGACATATGTGGCTTTTTATAGGGAGAACGCTTGCCAGGCGAAAACCCACCACGTCCTGGAACACTGCCGCCGAACCATTCGCTGGAACGGGAAAAACCCGAATCACCCAGCTGGCACCACGAGGAGGTTGTTCGGCAAGCCGGCCCAACGGGTGTACACAAACGGTCAATCGCTCAAAGTGGTCTGCGAGCCCGAGCAGTGGATCTGGTGCTTCGAATGTCAAACAAATTGGTCAGTCTAGCCAGGGTCAGATACAAAGTCGATCTGAGGTAACGGGTTGCAATAAGAGGATCTATGAACCTAGGAAGAGTGAATATTCACAGCTGCAACACACAAACGTTCAGCTACTTTACAAGAGAAGCGTGATATAAAATCCGATCAAAATGTGAATTAATAAAGCATAAAAACGATACACTCATAGCACAAATTAGCTGGATAGTTCTCGAATGACTCTGTTGAGGTTTGGTAACAATCCCGATAGATGAGAGATATATGGGTTTGCACTTATGATATACAAGGGATACCAAAGCTTCAAAAGTCACGTAACACTCTGTAACCCATCTGGTTAAATCATTTTTTATGCTGCGTTGTACAATTAGCCTCAAGGTGTCCGCAGACTGAGAGATCATCGGATGCACTGTGTCCATTCGCTTGCCAAATTACATCGTGCATGATTTCTGTTAAACACGCGAAACCTAATCTTCTTCGCCATTTAACTGACTGTAGGTAGATAGCGTACAGTGGTAACCAATGAGTGAATGAGAGGGTTGTCCTGTTCTCCGAACTGGGCATCT